GGGAGGCAGAGCAGAAAACCGGACGCTGCAGTCAGGGGAAGACAAACACCAAGGAGGGAGGCCTCCAGGCCTGAGAGGACGTCCAGGAGGAAGTGGCATTTAAGGACGAATCAGCTTGGGCCTCTAGATCTGACCAGGGGACTACAACGGGGAGAGTCCTGGCCACAGGACCTATAGGGCCGGCAACCCAGAGTCCTCTCCACCAGCGCTGTGGGTAAACAGAAATAGCAGGGGCAAACCCGTGAGTGGAAGTGAGCTCATTGGAATGTGTAGATCGTATTTGGATTTTTTTTTAAAGAAGTTTTTGCCTTATGGAGTGTGCACTTGCGCGCGAGCGAGAGAGAGAGACAAAGGCAGTGAGAAGGAAAATGAGAAATCACCCCCAGGGGGAGGGCCATGTCGCAATCTCTTCTCCATTCTCCTCCCGGGACCTTGGGCACGCACGCACATGCACTGGATTTGAATTATTTTATTTAACTCTATTTATTTATTTATTTTATTTGACCAGAGAGGGACAGAGTGAGAGAGAGAGAAAGGGAGAGAGAGGGAAAGTGAGAAAGCAAGCCACCAGGTCCAGAACATGAACCACGGTCAGCCACGTGGGAGTCCAGTGTCCTTAACCACCTCGCCACCTGCCGGCCTCCCCCCACCCCAATTTGATTTTCAAACCACCAGGTCTAGGACGCAAACCATGGTCGGCCATGTGGGAGTCCAGCAACGTAACTGCTATGCCATCTGCTGGCCCTGGATTATGATTTTTTACAAATTTGCTATAGGGTATGCATGCTCACCAAAGAGAGATGGGGGTAAGGGAGTGAGAAATAACCGCCCAGAGAGCATAGCCGTGCCGCGATCCCTTCTCCTCTGTTCTCCTCTCAGGTACGTTCCCAGCTTGCTTTTCAGATCCGTGTCCAGGACTCAAACAGCTTAATTGGCGAGGCAGGATCCAGCTGCCTTAACCACCATACCATGCCACCTAGCTGGCTCTGGGTTCTGATCTTTTTTTTGCTGTTATTAATAATGACATTTGTGAAGAATAGGCCTTTTTTTTTTCAGAATAGGCATTTTGAATGCTTTTTGGATATTTAATTATATTAAGGAATCATTGCTAATTATTGCTATTATAAATGTGCATGTATATATACACATTCCTATATGGGTATATTATGTATTTATTTAAGAATCCTTATTTTGATTTTCTTTTTTTAAGAATTATTTTATTTAACTATATTTATTTATTTATTTTATTTGACCAGAGAGGGACAGAGTGAGAGAGAGAGAAAGGGAGAGAGAGGGAAAGTGAGAAAGCAAGCCACCCGGGCCAGCACCAAAAGCAAGCCACCAGGTCCAGAACATGAACCACGGTCAGCCACGTGGGAGTCCAGTGTCCTTAACCACCTCGCCACCTGCCGGCCTCCCCCCCACCCCAATTTGATTTTCAAACCACCAGGTCTAGGACGCAAACCACGGTCGGCCATGGTGGTTAAGGATGGCAGGTGGCATGGTGGTTAAGGACGCTGGACTACCACATAGCCAACCGCAGTTCAAGTCCTGGACCTGGTGGCTTGCTTTCTCACTGTCTCTCTCTCTCACTCTGTCCCTTTCTGGTCAAATTAAATAATTTTTTTTAAAGAACCCTTATTTTCTAGATAAACACCAAAATATTTTTAAATACTTCTTTAATTGCCAGAGGGCAGGTGTTCTCACCAGAGAGAGACAAGGAGACAGAAAGACAGAGAGGAAGAAAGCACCCGCCCCAGTGGGGCACGGTCACGCTGCAACTCCTCCATTCCCCCCCCTTTTTTATTTTTGGCCTGTGCACACATGTACCCAGTCTGTTTTTCAAGCTGTTGGGGCTGACATTCAAACCCTAGTCACCCACGTGGGACCTAATTCCCTTAACCATGAAGTCATGGGGCTGGCCCTAAGCTTTGGTTTGTTTGTTTAAATTTGCTAGTGGGCGCGCGCACTTTCCAGGGCAAGACGGAGAGAGGGAAAGTGAGAAAGCCATTCTGGGTTTGGCCTCTGCCATCTCTCCTCTGTTTCCTCTTTCAGGATTTTGGGCTGCACACATGTGTCCACGTGCTCCTCAAGCCTCTCGGTCCACACGGTTAGCCATGTGGGATCCAGCTGCCTTAACCACCGTGCCACTGGCTGGCACTTAAACACTTTTTAAAGGTTTATTTATGTATCTCTTCCATGAGTCATGCCACAATGCACCCCCAGCTCTTAGCCAGCCCTGGATCAGGGCCAAGTGTCCACCCAACATATCACTGAGGTCTCCGGGTTTGAACCAGGAGCTTTGTCATGGGGAACTGCCTCACGGAGCGGTGTGCTTTACCTCTGTGCTGCTGCCCGGCTCCCCACATGAAATAGTTATGGGCGGAATCATCTCACATCTGGAATTTGCGTCAAAATGACATGAGAGGGGCTGGCAGGTGGCGTGGTGGTTAAGGGCACTGGACTCCCACGTGGCTGACCATGGTTCGAGTCCCAGACCTGGCAGCTTGCTTTCTCACTTTCCCTCTCTTTCTCTCACTGTGTTCCTCTCTGGTCAAATTAAAATAAATAAATAAGAATTTTTTAAAGTGAAATAAAATAATTCTATAAAAACTAAATTTAAAAAATGACATGAGAAGGGACAGTAGACGTGGCTGCAGGTGGGCCAGAGACTGGCTGTAGCGGCCGGCTGCTTGGCCTGGGTTACAGGTTCGTGGGCGTGCACTACTCTGCCCATTCTCACATATGTCCTAAATTCCCCGTAATGAAAAGTAAAAACAAAAACAAAAACGGGAGGATGAGTGAGGTCTAGGGGGAGAGCCGGGCATCTGGTCGAAGCAGCTCAGAGGAAGCTGAGCCGAGGCTGTTGGGGCGGGTGAGGCCACAGGGGGGTCACAGTTGCCTGAGCATAAAGCTGTGCCAGGCGCTTCGGGGACGGCGATGACTAAGGCTCCGTCCTCACACTCCAGGACAAAGGCCCATCTCAGCAGAGGGCCCAGGCTCAGGCTGAGCCAGACCAGACCCCGTGGAGGCCTGCAGGGCTTGAACAGGGAGCAGAGGCGGTAGCCACGGTTCTGGAAGGGCTGGGCGATCGCGTACCGGAGCCACCGGGCAGAGACAACCCAGCGTGCCTGAAACAGGCAAGCCTGAGGCCGCAGTAGGAGGACCGTGGTCGCCCAGGCCCCAGCAAACCTTGGCTGGAATTGTAGCACACCCGCTCTTCAGAAATCTGGCTTCTCTCGTGTTCTTCCGGAGTGACCTCGGGCAAGTCACTTGACCTCTCTGATCCTCAGTTTCCTCTTGTGTAAATGGGGGCAGTAACAGGACCTACCTCGTAAGGTTGCCAGGGGAGTACAGAAAGCGAGCAAAGCCCTGAGAAGTGAATGTTGGCTGTTATCATCAGTTTCAGGAGGAAGCTGCCCTCCGTCGGGACCATGCGGTATAGCAACTGCTCAAAAGGGCACTCCCTGCCGGGAGGTGTGACCACCACGCCAGTGCACCCTGCCTCCCTTCAGCAGGTTTAAGATCCTTTTTACTAAAAGAAGCTGCTTCTTCACAGCCCTGAGCAGGGGCGTACCAGAGAGAAGGCGTGAGAAAGGCACGAGTGAAAGCACTGGCCCTTAGGAAGCACGCTCGACCAGAGCCACTGAGGCCAGCAGGCAGACAAGGACCCAGCTCCAGAAACCACCTCTGGGCCCTGTCACCCCCCTCCCACGTGGCTTCTGGAACTGGGGGTTATCGGGAGCAAAAGGTCAGCCCCCCCATGAGGGAGGGGAGGAGGGGTGAGGCTGGAGCAGGCTCCTCCCACTGTGGGGAGCAGGCCTTTCTCCCCGCAAGGCTGGCTCAAGACCACTTCCTCTTTCCTCCATCTGCAGCCAGGAGCAGCCGGCTAAGCCCTGGGGAAAGATAGGGGCAGATTCCAGGATGCTTTAGCCCATCTCTGTTCCGGGCTGGGGACACCGAGCCCCTGCTGCCGAAGCCTCCCTCCCGCTGTAGGGGTAGCCTGGAGGCCTGCAGGATGGAGGCGGCCTGTGAGGAGAAACTGGCTTCTGTGTCCAACCTGGTGACTGTGTTCGAGAACAGCAGGTACGGGTGGTCGGGGTGGGAAGGGGCACCACAGCGGCCTGCAGTCTCCCCCCAGCCCCAGGCCCACCTGAGCTCTCAGGCTGCACAGCCCCTCCCTGCCTCCGGGCTGAGGGGCAAGGCCAGGGCCTTGGGGTCCTGCTTGGACTCCTCCTCCTGTGGGGACAGCACCCACGCCCTCGGCCATCAGCTCCTCAGAGCTCAGGCCGGCGTCGATGGGCACCAGCAGCTGGGCAGGGGTGGCAGTGGCGTGTGTGCCCGGGAGAGTCGAGGGAGCGTGGGTGGATCAAAGGCAGTTTGGGTCAGAACCCCACCCTTCCCCTGTGGCGCCTGGCAGGGATCATAGCTCCTACTTATCAAGCGGTATAACCATATAATTTATCACTCAGCCAGGACACAATTGAAACTGAAGGTGGAGGACATTAAAGTTGGGGGAGGGCAGCCGGTGAAACTGGGCTGGCAGCGGGCAAACCAGGCTGTCCAGCCAGCCCACCAGCCTGCCCCGGCCCCGGTCTCTCTCTTCCTACTTCATCTAGTCACCCAGACGGCCGAGTGGGCGCGGCCTCGGCTCCGACCCCCGTCTATGGATGAGCAGATGGGGACACAGCGAGGCGGGGATGCCAAGTGCCCTCAGGTCGTGTCCTTGGGGGCAGTGCCAGGCTTCTGTCTGAGGGGTGTGGAGGTCACTGCCAGTCCCGGCAGGGTGTGTGCGTCTGATGTCAGTCCACTCGCCAGGCTTGCTAAGCCCAGGACTAAGTTAGGGACTGCCATAGGTGGGATTCTCTGGAAAGGGACTCCAGCACAGAGGTTCACCTCAGGAGCAACCCCCACCCGGAACAACACCCCTCACATGGGGATGAGGGGAGTGGGGGGGGCAGAGAGAGAAGCTGAGCTGCAGTGAACTTGCTGCCAAGGCTTGGGCCTGCCCCCCCGGCTCTGGAGCTGGGGTGCCTCTCGGTTATTGCAACTGAGGCAAAGCGCTGGGTCCTTGTTCCACCACGTGGCTGGTCGTAGACTCTGCGCGAGGCGGTTCTCGTCCACAGAGAGAATTCCCAGAGGGACTCAGCCCACGGCCGTCAGCCGCCAACACCACTAGCAGCTGGGGGCAGGGCCACAGGCCAGCAGCCTGCAGGTGGTGCAGAGGGTGCAGGAGGACGGCTGTCCTTGCAGGCAGAGCCCACAGAATAACCATGATTCAAGGTCATGGACAGGAGATGTCGTAACAGGGGCCCCGATGCTGTGTCAAGGGCACTCCAAGCAAGCAAAGTGTCCTGTGGGCTTCAAGGTGGAGGTGGCATAGATGTGAACCTCGAAGAGCAGCTCAGCTGCCTGAGCTGTGTGACTACCCAGGGTCTCTGCCCGGTGGGTCCCGTTCAGCACCAAGGACAGTGCCTGGGCACCACCATCCTGGCCCACCACCTCCGTGGGCACGGGGCTATGGCACCTCCTTAACCAAGGTGCTAGGCAGGGAGTAGGTGCACTTGGGCAGAGCCCCTTGGCATGCTGGGCTCTGCCCAGGCAACACCCATGGCATGAAGCAGCAGCCCTGAGACCAGAGTGGGGTCAGCACGGGTGTGGTCAGGAGAGTGAGGGCTGTCCCTCCTAAGTGAGGGACCCCAGGCCAGCGACCTGGGCCTGGGCCTCCCCGCGAGGTCTCCAGCGCCTTAGCTGATCTGAAACTGAGAAGTGAAAGGGAAGGAAAGAAAAGCTGGTCTGGAGCCCTTGCAGAAGCTGAGCCCAAATGTAGAACAGAAAGCCTGACAATCAGCTACTTCCATGAGCTTCAGACCCATGACTGAGGAACTGGCACTGGCGCCAGCGAGGGCGGGAGGCCCTGGACGGGCAGCCCACTCCTGACAGGGGCCCATCACCCTCTGCCCCGACAACTGGCTGTGGAACTTGGGACAAGTCATGCTGGCTCTCGGGACCTGTTCTTCCCTTATTCAAGTGGGCTGAAGGCCCAGGAGCCAGTGCCTGGTTTCGTCCCACCCCTGCCACTTGTGAGCTGCAAGGTACTGACCCACTACCTCGCTTGTCTTAGCTGCAAGAAGGTCTTTGCCAACACGTTTGGCAGATGTCGGGCCTGTCCCACGCTCCATTGCTCAGCCCACTTTCCTCATGACGATGCCAAGTCACCAAAGGGAACAGGGCACATCCCGAGCCACTGGCCATCCTCAGCCAGGTGGCTCTGTTCGCTGAAGAATTGAACGGGGACCCAGCCATGGCGGGGCAGGCAGTGGGGTGCCTCTGTGTGATACTGGACCCACGTGTGCAGGCCTGGAGGGTTTGGATCCTGGGAACACCTGAATTTGGTCGCTGCCTGGTGGCATCCCCACGATCCTGCCACCTGGGAGGAGTGCAGCCTGGCACACCCTGGTCAAGGGTACCCTTCTCTCAATACATAAATAAATAAACTTAAAGGGAGCAAAAGAAACAATGTAAGGGACCAGCAGTTGGCATAATGGCTATGTCACTGGACTCCCATGTAGTCAACTGCAGTTCAAGTCCCGGACCTAGTGTCTTGAAATGCTGGGCGCGTGTACGTGCATGCCCAAGATCCTGGGAGGAGAATGGAGGAGAAGGGATTGTGGCGTGGTCATCCCCCCGGGGGTGATTTCTCACTTTATCTCTCTGTCTCTCTCTGTCTTTCTGGCAAGTGCACGCACCCTATGGCAAA